TGTAGCCTTCCACTACCTGAAGGGGCTACAAGGAAGCTGGGAGAGGACTTTTTAGAAGAGCCTGTAGTGACAGGACAAGGGGTAACGGGTACAAATTGAAAACAGGGAGGTTTAGAGTAGATATCAGGAAGAAATTCGTCACAGAGAGGTGGTGAGGCACTGGAACAGGTTGCCCAGAGAAGCTGGGGATGCCCCATCCCTGGCTGTCTTCAAGGCCAGGCTGGATGAGGCTTTGAGCAACCTGGTCTAGTGGAAGGGGTCCCTGCCCATGGCAGGGGGGGTGGAACTAGATGGTCTTTGAGGTCCCTTCCCACCCAAACCATTCTATGATTCTATGAATATGTGCAACAGAAGCACTTATAAACTGGCTTCCATCCACTCACCCTCACTTAACATTAAAGCTATATTCCTATGCTATTCCTATTTGTGTTATGGTGGAAAAAAAAAATAAAAGAAACAACTTCTACATAAACAATGTTAGGGGTTTTTTTTGTTGTGCTTTTCATACAGTTTGTAACCCAATAAAAATCAATTATATGCAGGAAAATTGGATGGCTTGGGTTGGTTTGGGGCGGGGGGTGTGTTAATCTTCTACTGTGAAAAAGCCAGCCTCTGAGAAACAACTTCATGGAGAAAACCATGAAGTTTGTGCTTCACTGCAGCTGTGCCAGCACAGAGAATGGCACCATGAGGAGTACAGATCTGGCCCTGGTTCCTCAGGCTTTGATTCAGCATGTGAACCATGAATGAGACAGATCAAATTGCAGACTGGATTCTGGACTCTGACAGACCAATATCCTTGGACAGGGTGTGAAATACTGAAGACAAAAAAAGAGATCTGAACGTTAGCTAAGTCTGGATTTCATGAATCATAGAATGGTTTGGGTTGGAAGGGACCTTAAAGATCACCCAGTTTAAAGCCCCCTGCCATGGGCAGGGACACCTTCCACTAGACCAGGTTGCTCAAAGCCTCATCCAGCCTGGCCTTGAACACTTCCAGGGATGGAGCATCCACAGCTTCTCTGGGCCACCTGTTCCAGTGCCTCACCATCCTCTCCGTCTCTGTGAAACAGGAACATACACTTCCATTATATTTCTGAATACTACTACCTCAAAAATAAACACTATTTACAATTTAAGTTTGTCTTGTTTATCTCATGACATGAATACAAATCAGATACTAGGATAGAAGGATTACTGCCTCCACAAACTGCTGTCCTTTCTCTCTCAGGGGCATTTTACTTGAAAACAGCTACGTTAAAGTATTAATGTCAAAGTCCCTGTGCTCATAGCTTTTCCTGGAACAACATCAGGACTTTGAACTCCTTCAATTTGAAAGTAAAAAGCAACTACTAGACTAAATGGAAGCTGCGTAATCAGCCTGAAAGACATTTAAAGGTACATATCTCTAAGTTTTTTAAAAAGCACATAAACCCTACTTTAATTTTTAGAACAGCTTCCTCAACTTCGTTACTCATTTCCAAGCTGAATCATTCCTCTGATCCCAAGTGATAAAAGGGTATGTAGTTTGATTCTTTACTAAAATTCCGTACATTTTGGAAGAGAACATTAATTTCATATTTATGTCTTAATAGAGCACTAAAATAATGTTCTTCTGTTCAGACTATTGCCACTTACACTTTTTTTTTTTTTTTGAGATAATTGCTTTTCCATGTATTTTCAAAATGCCAGCACTTAGCAGCTAGGCTAAGTTAGGTTTCAAACACTTTCTAGTTTTTCATACAAGATGATGCATACCTGGAAGATAGTCACTTAATCCTCTAAAAAACTTGATTGCTTGGCTTAAAAGAAGATCTCTGTACAGTCAGTGAATAAAGGGGAAACTTCAAGTATATCAACTGGCTTTCTGGGTAGGCAGGAATACTCCCTCTGTTACTGCTAAAATTATGCTCTCCAGCTAATATTCAAGTTATCTTATTTGCTTTTCTAGTTTGTGACTGACACATGCACAGAAAAAATGCTTCCACTTGCAGTGGAAAAAGTGTAACTAAAAGCATGATTAACCAACTGAACCCTAGATATACAACAACAAAAACCCACTCCACAGCAAAAGGATTTCAGAGAAATTCAGTTCTCCAGCAGACAGAGAGACGTTTATTAGTACTTACTGGAGTGGAACTGAAGTCTAAAAATCCCACCAAAAAGTCCATATCATTTATGCATAGATACCTACCCAGACCTTTAAGCATGCTCTAAGCCATAAACTACTATAGTCACCATGTTGGTGACAAGGGAACATCTGAACTGACTGAAACCAATGCCAGGTTATAGTTCAGTGAAAAGAATTTTATTTCAGATTCAGCTGTTCAGAGTGTCAGCCTCACTTCATGAACATACACAAACAAGAGATTCCACTGCACTGCAATACGAATAGCGGACTTAGTCTGCCTGTAAAAACAGATAGACACACTTTTCATCTCCTCCCCCATTACTCACAAGCAGATAAACTCTGGTTATTCCCTGCCTCCTCCACAGGACTGAAGCCCTGTTAACATCTACAGCTTCAACTGCAAAGAAAGTCTAATAAAAAAAGAGGAGAAATGCTTCTGTTTCTAAACTGCCTACATTAAAGATATCTACATTTTCTCTCCTTAAAAATGTTCATATAATCTTTACAATTTTACATTAAATTCAAACTTGAAGTATGTTGCAAAGCTTAATGGAAAGATCTTGCATCTGATTTCTATAAACCTAACACCAGGAGAGATGACAAATTCAAAAACCAAGCAAAGAGTCTGTAATATATTAAAATGCACGATGTAAATTTGTCACTATTAAAAAAATATATATTTCAAATTCTGGTAAAACCAAGTTAAAAGCTAAAAAAAAACAAAGAAGGGACCCATAAAAGCAGCAACATAAGTAGCAGCCTGCAACAATTACCATATTAGGAAGTCTTGAAAGAACCGGGATAGGTCTAAATTAAGAAAGGAAATTAAAGGATATAATGGCAGGAATACGTAAAATAATGACTGGCACAGAGCTATATTTCCTAACAACTCACTTCCTCTCATACCACAGAAATAAGTAGCACTGGCCAATGAAATAGGAAGAAGAAATTTAAAATTAAATATACAATGTGTAATTAGCTCGTAAACTTCAAGTGACCAGGCTGAAAAAAGTTTATATGCTTATGCAGGAGGTAATAGGAATCCAACAGCTTCACTGTGAAGGATGGAAGTGCACATGGAATACAATCAACCTTTCAAAGTTCACACCAGACCAGTTTACATGGTCTAGGAAAAACACTACTATGGGCTAGATGTTCCTTAACAGCTCACCGCACAACTTATTTGTGGGGTTGTTTCCTGTTTTCTTAATTAATCCTAATCTGTTTTTAGGCACAACATCAGATTAAATGGACTGTTTCCATTCCTGGCCTTAAATCAAAATCCTTTAAACTCTGGAATTTTTAGCTTATTCATAACATGATTGCCACTGGGATTCTTTCACTACATATATTTTATTTATCTTTTGTGCAGGCTTGAAAACAGAAATTTTATTTTTAGCTCCAGTAAATGAAAAAAAATTAACTTTCAGAACATGCCATTCCTCTTGCAATTAAATGAAAACAGAACTAAAATGTAACTCCCAGATCACATGTTATTACAGCACTATTCTATTACTTTATGAATGAGATTTCAAAAGCTTAGTGATCATGATTTCAGCCTGGAGAAGAGGAGGCTCCGAGGAGACCTCATTGCAGCTTTCCAGTATCTGAAGGGGGCCTACAAGGGTACTGGGAGAGGACTTTTTAACAGGGCCTGTAGTGATAGGACAAGGGGTAATGGGTATAAATTGAAAACAGGGAGGTTTAGATTAGATATCAGGAAGAAATTCTTCCCAGAGAGGGTGGTGAGGCACTGGAACAGGTTGCCCAGAGAAGCTGTGGATGCCCCATCCCTGGATGTCTTCAAGGCCAGGCTGGATGTGGCTTTGAGCAACCTGGTCTAGTGGAAGGTGTCCCTGCCCATGGCAGGGGGGGTGGGACTAGATGGTCTGTAAGGTCCCTTCCAACCCAAACCGTTCTATGATTCTATGATCATTTCCATGCTGAAATCCCTGAGTGGTTTGGAAACTTGGATAGCCTTTTGTCACCCTACCATCCGCACATTAAAATCTCTAACCCTTTACAGACACTGCACGATTTTCCTTCATGTCCAGTTCATGTGTCTGAAGAATAAGAAACATTTTTGTTGCAAAACACTAGTCCTACCAAGAGTTCCAGTATTTTAATCAAATCACGTTTTCCTGGTGAAATAAGAAGTCCTGCAAACAAATTTTTCAACTATGTGCTTTCAACAACAAATGTCAGAAATGTACTTAAAAACTATTTTTAAGTTTTGAAGCTCTTAAAAATGGAGAGTTGTATTCCTTTTTTCCATTTTCTGTAATATATGAATTTATTTTTTAGGCTTTCCAGGGAAGACTTATTTAAAATAAATTATAAAGGATCTCCCATGCAGAATCTAAAAGGATCTATAGAGCAGGTAGAATGGAGATTGTATACTTGTATACATACTGTTGATCTTCATGCACATTTATCCTGAAGCATAATGTTAAAATAAGTGATAACTGAAGAGATTTGGAAAAAAATTACAAAATCAAAATTACAAAAATCAAGAGATTCAATATGTTGTCAATCACTTTCTAACAGTTTCTAATAATAAAGAAAAAGAAATTTCAAATAGTTAAATCTTACAGTATTTTAAGTTCTCACATTTACTAAGTAAAAATATAAAATGCTTTCTGTTTAATATACTCTGATTAAACTATTTTACAATACATAAATAAATACGAGCAGACTTACTATTACAATCAAAATTTCACTACTTCAGTAATAAGAGGCCTTATGATTATACAATCCACAACTGCTAAAAATGATAATGCCCAGTTAGATCACACACAAATACAAAACCTAAAAGGGGGAGGGGGGG